GGTCCAAGCTCCATGGTTACCTGCAGGGACAGCTCTCCATGCGCTGTGCAAAACTGAACCTCTCTCCTCATCAAGCTCGTTCTGCCTCCCATATTTCTCATTTCCCTTGACGTCATCCCCATCTTCCCTATCAGAGAGCTTTGAGTCCGCAGAACACCTCTGAAGTTCTTATCTGCCTCTAATGAAATATAAGTAACAATAATAACAGTGACCATCCTCAGTGGCACCTGCCACGGTCACACCAAATGCCTGGGTCTTTACACTTATTACCTCCCAACAGTGCTGGGAATTTAGGTATCTTTTCATTTTTTTTTTCATATCACCAAGGCACCAAGGGCACACCCACTGACTGAATAAGGATCCCTAGAGAGACCACAGAACCAAGACTGGTCTCCAAGTCTCAGAGTTCACCCTCTGCTGCCATGTCCTGCTCTCCCCCACGCCGTCTCCACCACCCATCTCTACCTTCTCCCGGGCTGCCATGACTCTCTTCTGCCATCCGTTCCAGCTTCCGGGCTTTCTGCATCTCAACCCAACCTGAAGGTGGCAGCCAGGCTTACCTTTTAATGTCTGTTTCATGGAGTTGCTTCCCTTGTCCACCAGCTGTACCTCATTTCCCCCAGTTTCTCTCCAGGAAAGGGCAAATGTACCATGTGGACTGTGATGGTTTTCTACAGCATGGATTCCTTCGCCAATGCCTCCAGCAACTACTGCTGACTCTGCTGAGACCCACTAGCCTTTTATTCTAACTCCCTCTTGTCCTGTGTCTCTTCCACCCCTTGGAATTTTGTGTCAATCTCTCTTTTCTCTATTAAGCTCTGGCATCCCTGAAGCCCAGGCTGAGTTTTGTGTCTTCTGTTTTCCCTGCTTTGTTAAATCCCGACCTATTGGGACTTAGAACCTTGGCTTTGTCAGGTCTATGGCCTCAGACAGGTGGCTCATCTTCTGTGCCTGATTTTATTTGGGGGATGAAATCTACTCTGAGCTAGATAAAGACTTTGAAAGCATCACTGTGTGTATCAATAATCTGCTAGATTGAAACACAAAGGAGACCCTGCAAAGACTGGCTTGCTACAATCATTTCAAATCCTCCAGCAGCATCAATGTAAAGAGGAACAAACCTGGCAGCCTAACTCAGGCTATCACAGCTACTCAAAACTTAAGACATTATAATTTGGAAACAATATTCTAATAAGTGGGTGTTTTTCTAATTTAATCCAGTATTTCACATTTACTCTAGATTATTGTGGTTTCCCCTGGCACTTGAGTGCCCCCCAAAAGACAGCTCACTAAGATAGTGACTAATATCCCCTGCACAGGGAAACCATAGATTTAATATTTACTGAACACTTAGTACAGGTTGAGCATCCCTACTCCAAAAGTCCCAAATTTCCTAAAATCTAAAACTTTCAGAACTTGAATTTGATGTCCATGTGGACATTTCCACACCTGACCTCATGTAATTAACCAGTCAACACGGGTATGCTGAGAAGGGGTGAAATCACCAGGAGACCATGCAAGGGGTATGTGAAACCTGAACAGATGTCATGCTAGACTTCAGTCCTGCTCCAAAGATAGCTCGTTGTATCTATACCAATGATGGAAAAATGTGAAAACCAAAAGACTTCTAGTCCCCAGGGTTTCAGATAAGGGACATTCAGCCTGTACTGTGGAGTAACTGTGTAGGGTGAGAGATTAACTCCCAAGAGTCTCTCCATGCAGTAGTAGCCTGAGATAGGTGAGGGAAATGCATGAGGTAAACAGATGTCACACAGAAGGAAGATGAGCTGCTGTGGTATTGGGGGAAGCAGAAAAGGGAGTGGTGACTCCTGATTCAGGGCAGAAAGGAAAGTGAGTGTTCCTATGGGGAGGTGGGCCAGGGCCTCAGCAGAAGGCAGCCCAGGAGCATTGGTGGGCACACAGGAAAGGCCTGTGCCAGGGTGGGGAGCAGTGCATTGGAGTCTAGGGCGTGCCCACTGGGTGGGGACAAGAGAGTTTGTGGGCAAGAGGACCACAGAATTGTTCTAGGGCCAGGTCCCAGAGAGACTGAGGCATGGAGCAAGCAGGTCTGGGTGTGGGTCACTTTCTCTGAGCTCTAGTAGCAGTGGGTACAAGGATTTGGATGTCAGCCTTTGCACCAAGCTATATATATCTCTAGCCCCAGGATCTGACTAAGTCACTAAATTGCTCAGGCTGGGTTCAAAATTTCATTCCCCTTGTCTCATTCTCCCAGAATGCTGTGACTACAAGCATGTGCCACCATGCCCACCTTGGATGAGATTCTTATTTCCAATCTTTCTGTTTCTCTGCTGTCTTCAAAGAAGACTGTTAGTGAATCAGGATGCAATTACTTGAGTTTGGAAAATCAATTTGGTTTATCATTATTTCTTTGTTCTAAAATACTGGTTGTCAGAGATATTTTTCAGTGGCTTTTCATAATCTAAGAACCTCCACTAAGATAGCTAAAATGCAAAAAAAACCCGTAAAGTTTTCCAAGAACACAAACACTGGCCATTTTAACTAACAGTGTGACATTAACATACTACTCATGGACAGATGATGAGAATATGCTCTTTGAAAAATCCCATTAATGCATAGCTGTCATTCTTAAGCAAGTTGCTAAGAGCATTCCACCACCAAAAATAGGACTAAAGAAAATTAGCCCTTCTTGTCTGAAGACTGTGACCATCACTGCCTTGGACATGTGCAGGGCAATGAATATCAGCCTCCCTGGGTGTTCCTGGGAGGGAACAGCGGGCAGGAAGGCATGGTTAGGTTGTCCTTGTCTCAGAATAGTGCCGATAATTCAAGAGTAAGTACTGCTCCTTGTCCTATGCAAGGAAACAGACCAAAGCTTTAAAGAACCAGTTTTAATATATGCACCTAATGCATTCTAAAACTGACAGGGAAATGCTCTATTTTAGAATTCTGGTGACATATTCAAGTATTTGGGTTTAGATCTGAAATGACCCCCAAAGAGTCATGTGTTGAAAGCACAGTCCACCAGGCAACAGGGTTGAAGGTGGGCTTTGGGAAGGTAAATCGATCATGAGGCGCTAACCAGAGAACTAATCCATTATTTGGTGGAGTTATTGGTAGGTAATAATGGGGGCTAGTTGAAGGGAATGGGTCACAGGGGCATAAACTTGGGGATTACATATTGTTCCCAGATCCTTTATGCCTGAGTCTCTCTCTTCCCTTCTGGTCACCAGAGGTGAACAGCTTTGGTCTATATACAACCTACTCCTGCTTCCATAATGTGTCTGCCTTGTCCCAGGTCTACAGCCAAGGACCCAGCTGACCATGGGCTAAAACTGAAAGCCAAACTACACCTGTTCTCTGAACTCATTTTCCCAGGTATTTTGTCACAGCAATGGAAAACTGACCAGCATGCCAAATATAAACATATAACAACTCTCTCTAAGCACATGTCTCCTCTTATCCTGAGGGAAAAAAACCCTACGCCCTGTTGATTGTAAACTTTCCCCCTGAACCTCTCACTTTAAATATCTCAAACATAACCAATATATTATCAAAGCATTACAGAGATCAACACAGTTATGCCCCTCACTTTCTTTCTTTCTTTTTTTTTTTAATTTTATTTTGAAAGTAGTAAAATACAACAGAACAAGACAGAATAAAGCCAACTAAGACTGTGTAGTGAAATTGGTACAGAACTTCATAGCAGGTTACCGAGATAACAGTAATAGGTATCACAGTATATTTTGTTATCTTTACAATAGTTGTTCTTTCAATCACGTATAGCAAAATAAAATGAAATACAGAACATTATAGAACTTATCAAAATAGAATATTGAATAGAGCAGTACCATTAATCAGAATAGAGCAAAACAGTAATAAAAAATACTTGCTTCAAAAAGATGGTAGAAGGAAGTCCCCCTTATTTGCTGTGGTCAACCTCCCAGGAGATGCTCAGATTTCTGGTTCCCATTTGCTAACAGGGTGACAGGAGAAGCGGGTAGAGGAAGTGGGATGTTTGACTCTAGCCCATACACCAGTAGGTTCACTATTGCTTAGCAGGGAGGCAGGCTGGTTGCTTGGTTACCCAGTGTCCTAAGTTTCAACATGGCTCAGATCTCAGGAGCCGCTGATGGTTCTCCCCTGGAAGGGCCGCAGTCTGCCACACCGCAGCCACTTACCATGGAAGGGAGCTCATGCTCCTCACTTTTGAAGAAAGGCAAACAAAAGATTACAAGAATGTCCAAACTTTGGGAAACCTTCCATCTTTTGTCTTGAGCTGAAGGAATGGATCTGCCTGCCGCATCTTTGGGTTGGAGATAAGAGCTAACTTGTTGCCTTTTTTTTTTTTCAGTACCAAGGATCAAACCCATGACCTTATCACTGAGCTGTACCCTAGTCCCCAACTTTTGATCTTAATGTTTCCCTCCTACCACAGACACCTATGACAAGGGATTACAGCCATCACTGTGGAGAGCAGCTCTGTGCTGAACAGGTGCCTCATCCTCTGTCTCTCTGGCCTCCCCTTTGGGGAGGACAACTCCTGGGTCACACCATGTGGATGTCTGCTGGTCTCCTCTTGCAGGTAAGATATTATCTTTGAGATCTTCTGCTCACTGACCAACTCCTAATGGGGCCAGATCCTTATCTAGGTCACCCAGCCCCTTTGACCCAACCTCTACAGTAATTCACTCAGGGTGAGTTAAGAACAATCCCAGAACAGCTCACAGGTTCTCAGCTCTTCACCAGAGGCACCACTGTGACAGCCCCTTCTGCACAGATCCCGCTGGAATGTCAGGTCCCCCTGGATGCAAAGCAGGAGGTGGTTCCAGCAAACTGATTAGTAAGGCTCCTGTAACTTGCCAAGTTCACATTGGTGTCTAACTTGTCACACTGGCTGGCTGACTCACTCAGCCTACAGGCTCCCCAAAGACAGCCTAGTGATTCACTCAATTTTTAACGTTAAGAACACTGGACCTTCTACCCACAAAGTTACCCTGATGAGCAGGCTGGGGTCTTACCGGGGTAAGCACAGCTTGGGCCTCTGCATTAGGTGGCTCCTCAGTTAATCAGCCTCAGGCGGCTGTGTCTCACATCTGTGCAGTTCCATAACTGCGCAAGGGCCACAAGCTCACAGAACATAGCTAAAATGAGGACAGACTCTCGCAGGTCAGAGGCCACAGAGCACATGTTTCATTTCTTCAGGGAAGAATAAAAGAGTTCACTGGCCAAAAGCAAGGAAAGAAATTTGCCAAATATCTCATTTCCTGCTATTTAACCAGTTGGTTGTGAATCACATAAAAAAAATTCTCTCCATCTCCACAAATATTTTGAGTTATTTACAAACTGGTAATACATTGGTGACTGGATATACATGTACACCACTGCAGAGAAAGGGGGTTCATGGAACAAAAATTAAAGTTTTCCACTGTGGTTTCTTCCTCTTATTTAGAAACAAGAAGCATTTTTGTTTATGACTTTGATAAAAGGGATATGAGTGCTTTTTTTGTAATAGAGAAAAGAGAAAAAGAAGAAAGGAAGGAAGGAAAGGAAGAGGAAGGGAACGGGTAGATTCCTTGCCAATCAAGGCCTAGAACAAAAGAAGCTTGGAACAATTGTAGCTCTCCCCATCACCTGTCTTTCCCCACGCAGGAACCAGGCCTCACCCTCCCGAGCCCGGGGAGGAAGCATCACCTCTTGACACAACCCAGCACAGAAGGTTCTGGCACTGTCCTCTGGCCTCCTGACAAGAATGTTCACTTACAGATCCCAAGTTATCCTAAGTCCATCTGGTGTGTTCCGAGGATCAAAAACAAATTCGTGCAGCCTCCCCTACCCCCACCCTCTCTCTCTCTTTCTCTCTCTCAGGCTCTGACCTGCTTTCCTGAGCACTCGGGTGAAGCCCAGACTTGCTCTAGGGAGGCTCTCTGGGAGCGGGACCTGACCGACCGGCCCATAATGCCTGTGACACAACTGTCCCGCTCCAGCCCGAGGGTAGAGCCATCCAACCAGTGGTCCTCACCCAGGGTCAGGGCAGGCAGGCTGGGCCTCACAGACCCCTTAGCTTGGTGGTCAGCTCAGAGGCACAGGGCTACAGGGGAACTTAGTGGTGACTTTACTGAAGGAAGACTATCACAGCTGAGCCACTGGCTAACTTGGGTCACACTATGATAGCAGGACATTTGAGATTAGATCTCAAGGGGGAAGAGGTTTTTCTTTTTACTACAGATCAGTTTAAATGAGAGTTGATAACCTTAAGCCAGCTGTGCTTCAAGAGAAAATAGTACCAGAGCTTTGGGGATAGTAAGGAGTGAGGTGAGGGAAAGGGAAACATCAGGTCCCGTTGATTTCGTCGCTAAACAGACACCCCCATGTGACCCAGGTGCATGTCAAGGAAACTAACACGTGCGGCCTGCACCAACTGGCTTGACCAGAAGTGCAAGTTCAAATGCCAAGGTGGCTGGAGAAGGGGGCAGACATAGGAAGGAGGAGGGGAGGCATGCTACCCATTTGGGGGGCATTGTTCTCTCTGAACAATGAAGCCACTGTGTAAATTGCACCTTACCAGGGTCAGGGGAAACCCAGAGTGCTTGACTTGGTGACCTGTAGTACTTCAATACCATTCCTTCCTGGACCCCTGACTCCAGTTGGAGTCCCCTTCCTGGACCCCAACTAGACTGGGGGTCCAGTTGGGTAGCACTTGGGGTCCACACACACAATGACCCCTACATCCTGTCCTCAGTTTGCATTGTTATAGGAGCTCGCAGCTGGAGGCGCCCTGGGTTTGGGTTTTATGAGGAAAGAGGATTTATAAACAGAACCGAAGCACCTTCTGGGAGAGAGCAATTGGCTCTTTGGCACAGCAAGCAAATGGCTCCTGAGCTGACAGTAAATGGTCTGAAGCCTTGTTATTCGCCTGAGACACCCCTGGATTCTGCAAATTGCTGCTAATCACATTATGAGAGTTACAGATTCTCCCACAGAGGCCACCTAGCCGTCAGAGATGCACGGTGTGGCACAAGTGCAGAGGAAAAGGCCCTACAGTTTGGACTGGTTTTTCCTATCATCTAAGTGCCTTAAAATGAGAATTCATATGTCTGAGCAAAGTCAGGAAAGGAAAGCCTGTGTTCAGCCTGTGCTCCTCAGGCTGCCCCTTACACAGACCACATTGTGTATTGTTCCTGTGCCTGAAACGCTTGTAACACACCCTCCATGTAACCCCCTCCCTATCGCCTTGGTTCCTGTAACTTGTTCTTGTAGCTTGTTCCCCTTCCCAGGTTCCTTTTATGGGGACAAAAGGATCCTAAGACCCTGACCCCTTCCCTTGCGGCTTGCTACTTTATAACTTCCTGCAGCCCCTGGCTGGGGCACACGCTTCCCTGGCTGCTTTTCTGGGACAGTGTCGTTGCTGGGCTCAGCTAATAAAGCACTTCTTTGTAATTTATGGAATCCGTCATTTTTCTGCCCATATCAAGAAACATCTTTCAAAATGAAAATACTCCTGGAAGGGGCAGCACGTTGGACTGTTAAGGGCTAACTTCTGTCCTCCTAAAATCCATATGTTAAAGTCTCAACCCCAGGACTGCAGAATGTGACTATATTTGGAGATTATGAAAGATAATTAAGTTAAAATGAGGTCAGTAAGATGGACCCTACTCCCACATGATTGATTCCTCAAAAGACAGGGAAATCAAGGCATAGAGGGTAGCCCAGGGGAGGACTCTGGGGAAGAAAGCCACCCAAAATGGAAGGAGAGAGGCCTTAGGAGAGACTGACAAACTCTGGGGACACCTTGGTCTCCAACTTCCAGCTCCCAGAAGTAGGCAAAAATCAACCTCCGTTACTTAGGCCCTTGTCCATGGTACTCAAGCGAACACATGTGCACTTCAAAGTGAATTCCTGACAGCAGAAGGTACAGCAAGCCCTGTGCGTTCTGCAGCTGAAGAATGGAGAGTGAACAAGTCAAGGCCCTCACGGGAAGCAGTGGACGCTGGTCATGAGCGTGGGGTTTGGAATCAGTGAGTGTATCTCCAGGTCAGTAAACCTCTCTGAACATCAGCCTCAGTGTGGTGATATGACTGCGCTGACCTTACGAAGCTTCCAGGATTAAATAAAATACATGGGATGTGCACGGTGCCTGGGACATGGTGAGCGTTTCATAAACTATACTTAGGATGATGGTGTGGGAAGCTAGGAGAAGGGGTTTAGAGAGGGATCCTGGTGGAAGGTGGAGTGGAAGTTACTAGAAACAGTGGTAGACTGGGAAATCAGGAGATCCTGGATTTTAGTGCCAGGCAAATACTGATTAGGTAACTTAGAAGTCACTTTATCACCATGCGCCTCAGTTTCCCCATCTACCTAACGAGAACATTAGACTCTCTGTAAAAAAAAGAAATGGCAGGGGAGCCTAAAAGCACCCTGCTCTTTTCTCAAGGCCATCCCAGGAGGAATGCTCTTCATTTCCATAGTCATCAGTTAGGGATCCACTTCGGAGTCACAGGAAAGATACAAGCACAAGTTTCTTCACTGTCTTTCTCCTTCACAAACTACATGAGTCAGGGGAGCACAGCAGGAGAAAGCTGCGGGTCCCTCCCCCTTCCCAGTGATCATTACCACCCTCCCCCCAGACAGGCTCACACCCAGCAGGCTAGCTTTCCATGTCCTGGAACAAGGCTTTGCGGATGCTAGGAGGGCAGCGCGCCAGGGATGGCACGGACCTTGTGTTCCTCTAACGGGATCCTCAGCCCTGGTAGTGCATTCTTTGCCAGCCTCAGATTTTAGGCATCTTAATCACAAACATGATTGTGTTTATTTATTGATGCTAATTGGCAAAGCTTTGAGCAGAGCGTGCATTCATTTAGGCTACCAGGTCTGCTACCAAGACACTGTATGAAGTGCTGGCCTGGGTCCGGTGGAGTGAGACACAGTTCTCTTCTGAGCAGAAATTTGTAAGATACTAGACTGTAATGCAGAGCCCATTGTTTTGCCATGTTCTTCATACCACAGGGTCGTGGCATACTGCTGTGGAGTACTGAGAGAAGCCATCACGGAAATGAGTCAACTTTTCCAACTTCCAGAACTGAGCATTTCTCACCTGTTCACTGAAGGCAGATAGAGCATTTCCAGATTCTAGGATTGAGGTGTGTTGCTACTAACAGGATAGCTCTCAAGGCAGCGAACTGGGGCAGACCAGCTTCTGAGCTGGCTGACTGAGCAGACCTAGCATCAACAGAAGGAACAGTGTGCACCCTGTGGGCCTCTCTACTAAAAGCAAGTATTTGGATATTGAGTCTGCTAATATCTGATGCCCAAACTGGGCCCATTCCTAGAAATAAGAGAGCTGGAAAACATCAAAATCAGGGAACTAACAGGCAAATCTCCATAGATTGGGTGCAGCTTCCGAGGTAAATCTATGGCATTTGACGCAACTTATTCTAAACCTTCATAGGTTTCTAGCAAATCACTGGGTCCCCCCTACTCCCTCATTTGACTAAAAAATCACGTCTGCCCAGGCTCTTCTGCCATGTTTTGTCTTTTAAGAATGCTCAAGAGAACCAGTTTTAGTTGCAGGAATTATGAGAAGATTATGCTCATCTCTAAAATGGAGTCAATAATTGGAGTCACCTGGTGCATATACTTAATGTGTTCATAAATGAAATGATACATGGAAGTGCTCCTTGTGTGTCAGTTATTAATAAATAAACGTTAGTGTCAATAAGGAAAAAGCATTATGAAACTTGGGTGCTATGATTACAGAAACAGTAAAACAGGCTTTCCAAAGAATTTTTTGTTTACTCGTTTTGTATTTTTAATTTTTATTTTGAAGGTAGTAAAATACAACAGAACAAGATGGAACAAAGCCAATCGAGACAATGCAGTGAAATTGATACAGAACTTCACAGCAGGTTACCGGGATAACAGTAACAGTTACCGTAGTATATCTCACTATCTTCACAATAGTTGTCCAGTCAATCAGGTATAGCAAAATCAAACTAAAAACAGAACACTATAAAACCTATCAAAACAATATTGAATAGAGCAAAACAATCAGAACAAAGCAAAACAGTGAAAACAATGCTGGCTTTCAAAGAGAAGACAGAAGGAAAGCCCCCATATTTGCTATACTGCAAACGGT